TTTTTTTAAAGATTTATTTTATTTATTTATGCATACAAGAACAGCGGTGTAAGCTAGAGGTGGGGGCGGCGGCGTTAAGAGGATTCAAAGTTTAAGGCTATTTCATGGCCACAACTATACAATGTCCTTTAAAAATGCTCATTTGAGGGGCCCTTCCTGGTGGCGCAGCGGGTTAAAGCCCAGCATTAAGAAATCAAAGCCACTGCAGAATGAATTCGATCCCTGCCCAGGAGGTGACCCACATGGTGCAGCAGACCCCTCCTGACCTGCCCACTGCTCCCCTCAGCAGTGTACCTCGACAGTTGGCCTGCTCTGCTCCCCGCTCTGTCTCTGGTGAATCCTCTCACCACCCCTGTACCTCTGGCCTGTACCCCAGTTCTGTATGAATAATTATTTTTTTTAAAATGCTCATTTGCAAATATTGCCATTTCTAAACTTGCTCGCCCTCCAGGTTACTGAGATAGCCTTTGCTAAGATGAGCTTTTAATTTTATTTTTTTTTTTTAAAGATTTATTTATTTGTGCATACAGAACTGGGGTACAGGCCAGAGGCTCAGGGACGGTGAGAGGCTTCACCAGAGACAGAGTGGGGAACAGAACAGGCAGATCAACGAAGTACACTGCTGAGGGGAGCAGCGGGCGGGTCAGGAGAGGTCTGCCACGCCATGTGGTCTCCTCCGGGGCAGGCGGGAATTGAACTCATGCAGAAGCGGCTTTAGATTCTCAGTGTTGTGCTTTAACCCGCTGTGCCACCAGGGAGGGCCGAGCTTTTAATTTTAAACGTAGACAACTCTCCTACTGCAAGTAAAGAAATCCTTGATATCATCCTCTCTACTTTTCTCCGAGTAGCAATAGTGCTGTTTCCTGTAGTCAGTCTTTTGTTCCCTGGGTTCAGCTCAAATAATTCAAGGTAACTCGTTAAGGATATTTCCCCATGTTTACACAGAATTTTTAGTGATACCATGCCCATGTAAACCCCCTCAGCCACTGCTGTAGTGCGCTCAATAAATATTTTGTCTAAAGATGAAAGGAATGAGGGTGCAATGGTTTAAGGCATGGGACTGCGAATCTACTAGCTTCTGCATGAGTTCAATCCCAAGCCAGGGAAGTGACCCACCTGGCACTGCAGGCCTCGCCTGTCTTGTCCACTGCTCATCTCAGCAGTGTACCTCATCAGTCTGCCTGTTCTACTCCCCACTCAGTCTCTGGTAAATCCTCTCACCCCCACAAAACTCTGGTCTGTACCCAGTTCTCTAAGCATAAATAATTTTTTTTTAAGAGATGAAAAGAAGGAATACTATTCAGGACACCTCGCTGTCCCCAGCAAATACTGACTAGCTCTTTGTCACTATGGCATCATTTCTTTTTTTTTACTTTCAGGCTCCTGTCACTAAATTTAAAGAAATTGAGATCTCTCCATTACAGTAGTATTTCTTTGTGGCTGGTTTTCTTTTTATTATTGAGTTGTATTCCAGTGTATGGATGACATACTTTACTCACTTCTTCATGTGTTCCTGTATATTTGTTTTGTTCTTAGCTCGAGGCTTGTGCAAATAAAGAGCCTATGAAAGTTCATGGACTGATCTCTCCCCCCACGGCACCCCATGATCCATGACCCCCACTCCCCATGCTAGTCGTTCCCCTTTTTGATGCTCCCTCCCACTTCCATCCCCTGCTGTATGCCTCAGCTCTAAGTTTTGCCTTTTTTCCCCCCTGACTCTTTGGCTTCTCTATAGTCTGCATATAAGTGAACCAGAAGCCACGTGATATTTACCTTTTTCCTTGACTGACCTCACTGAGCATAATCCAGCTCTATCCATGTGGCTGCAAATGGAATGAGTTCCTTTCTTGATCACTGAGTTGTACTCCATTTTGCATATAAACCACATCTTCTTGATTCAGTCATCTGGTTTGAAGCATTTAGGTTGCTTTTATATGTTGGCTACTGTAAATAGCGTTGCAATAACATAGAAGCACAGGTTTCTTTTGAAATTAGTGGCTTGTGTGAGTGTGTATGCTTTGGGTAGACTCCTAGTTTTGTTTTATTAAATTTAGCTGTTTAAATAAATGTTTGGAGATATGTCTTTTCTTTTTTTTTTTAAGATTTTTTTATTGATGCATGCAGAACTGGGGTACAGACCAGAGATGCAGAGAATGAGAGGATTCACCAGAGATAGAGTGGGGAGCAGAACAGGCAGATGTACTGAAATGCACTGCTGAGGGAAGCAGTGGGCAGGTCAGGAGAGGTCTGCCAGGCCATGTTAATCAGCTCCCTGGCCAGGGACCAAAGTCATGCTGCAGTGTCTGTGATAGCTTCAGAGTGCAATGCTTTAATCCATTGTGCCATCAGGGAGGGTCCTGGAGATATTTCTTACTGGTTTTAATTTTCATTTCTTTATAACAATGTATTATTATATGTCTATATATGTATTTGTAACTTGAATATCTTTATGAAATGACTTCATTTTTATCACTGTTGGGCATTTTTTCCTTACATTTTACATCTTCCTTTTATATTCTGCATATAAATCTTATGTGCTGTGAATATTTTGCCTCATCTTAGAGCTCATTTTTGTATTTTAGTGATGTATTTCAAAGAGCAAAATATTTTAATTTTTAACATTTGATTTATGAATTTTTTAAGGTTTGTGCTCATTTTATACGATTTAGGAATTGTGCTACTTTTTTTTTAAGATTTATTTATTTATGCTTACTGAGCTGGGGTACAGGCCAGAGGTGTGGTGAGTGAGAGGATTCACCAGAGAGAGGAGCAGAACAAGCAGATATACTGAAGTACACTGCTGAGGAGAGCAGCTGGTGGGTCAGGAGAGGTCAGCTCCCTGGCGGATGATTAAACTGCTGCAGTGGCTTCAGAGAGCTTCGTAAAACGTGGTGTTTTAACCCGTTGCACCACCAGGAAGACCCCGGAATTCTGCTACTTTTATACTGAGAAGACAATCTGTTTTCTCTGATATATTTTACAGTTTAGTTTACATTTAGACATATTGTACATTTTAGGATAATTATTGTATATTTTGAGGTAAGGATTTTTGGCGCTCATTCCCCCCCTCACCCCCACCTATAACTATCAAGTATTTCCAGTATCATTTAGGAGACTTTTCTTTCTCGCTGGGTAGTCTTGGCAAATAAATAAAAAAATCAATCACATATGAGTCTAGTTATGGAATCTCCTTTCCAGCCATTGATATATTTGTCTATCTCTGTCAACAATTATTCGAGCTACAAAAACAAAGTTTTATTTTCCTTTCCAAATTCCAGTGACTAGGACCTAAAAAAGTGATAAATTCATATTCTTCACTTTGAATATTTCTTACCTCTCCTTTGACTTGTAAATAATAGCACTTTAATTATTCGGGTCTCAGCCCACCAAAACTCAAAATTCCCTCAAATTGTAATTACTATAATTATCTTCCTTCCTTCATCACTTCCTCTTTCTTCCTTTCTCACTCTCCCCTCCCACCTTCACTGATACTTTGTTTTTCCCCTGGTTTATTTACCCTCACTAGCAACGTCCTCCAGAGGGCGCCACCTGTAACAACTTTTGGCTTCAGTCCCGGCTATACTATGACTGAGTGGACCATTTACCAATCAGCTCACAGCTTGCACCTGATGTGTCCATTGGACAATCCAGGCACCAAAATTCATGGGCCTCTCTACTGTCTGCAGCTAGAGGGAGCCAAAGCACTGGAACTGGCTCATTGGTCCTCCTCGCACCCCTGAAGCGGCTGCCCGCTGTTTACCATCACTGACTGTTGCCTGAGCCTAGTGAGGCCGCTAGTGGTGCACAGTGAAATGTCCGTCACCTGTTGCCACTTGCAAAGCATGCAAGCAGCTTCTGGGTCCAGACATCCGAGCACCAAGGGTAGTTCTCCAGTGTCAGTAGCAATAGCTGCTAAATAAGTAGACATACAAATAAGACTTACTGGTCCAACCTTCAAACTGGGGCTGTGGACTGCTGCAGCGTGTTCTCAGTAGCCTGCCTATGAGCACCTCCAGCTGAGGTGCGTTGGGCCCTGGCCCCTGCTTGCCATGTACCATGAGCTGCGGGCCCTCGTTGATGGAACAGTGCCATCATGGATGAGAGCCTTTTTGTTTGGGACTTTTGGACACTGGACACTATTTGTGAGACAGCTGGTCATTTGTGGCCTTAAAACTCTTTATTTTTCCTGTTGTTAAATAAGCCCCATGATTGTTGTTCCCTGAGTCTGAGTGGTTTGCAATTATGCATGTGGCTGAAGAACACACCTGTCCTCTGTTGGCCACTGTGCTTTGGATGCTTATAGGCCTGTTGTAGCCTCTACAGAGCTTTGTTTCACTACTAAAATGGTAAATTATTACTTGAAAACTTCAATCAACCCCAGAACAACAGTTGTTCTGATTCTCAGTTGTCATGAGGCAGCCATGTTCTCAACTTGTAGAGTTGTCTGGGTTGGGGAGTCATCACAAAAAGAATCTTCTACCCAAAAACTCAGTAGAGAATATCTCTTAGCTAATTGGAATTATCACAGAAAGTATCTTCTTCTACCCATAATTCAGTAGAGAATTGCTCTCTCGCTAACGGTGTGTCAAAAGTGACCTCAGATTATTGTAAGATATTTTTCATTATCCAAAGTTCAACACATTCATACACATTCATATACATTCTCTTTTTTAATAAATATCAATAGTTCAAAGTTGACATTCAACAAAACCTTCTCCCAAAATTCAGATATTTAAAGTTTAGAGTAAAATTCATACTACATCATGGGAAAGCTCCAGTTTTCTTCTACCATTTAGTAATTTGGAAAATATAACTCCTTCCCTTATAAATACAATTGCTTGATTTCCTGGAATATCATCTTCTTGCAAAGTTATTTAAGTGTCATAAACTCCTTAAATACAGGCACTGAGCCATCTTGACATGTGAATCTAGGCTATGGTTCAAGGAGTACATGAGACCCACACAATGATCTTTCTCATTCAGATCTTCAGTCAGCCAGTTCATTTCCATAGCCTAGTCATCATCAAATAGGGGGACGTGCCGTCAGTCTTCAACTCACTATAGAAAAGACCATACAATTATCAGAATCATGCACCTGAGACTTGAATGCTCTCCTTGCTGCACCATCATTACCTTCACTACCTTCATCACCTGCACCACCATCATTACCTTCACTACCACTCCACCACCTAGTCTGAACTAACTGCTTTGATGTGATGGGTGGTGATGAATTGACTGTTTCTAATTTTCCAAGAGACAATAGAATCACATGGTAGAATCATGTACCTCAGGCAAATTCATGTAGCCTAGTGGGACAAGAGTGAGGAAGAGTGAGGGGAAATGAGAGTGTTAGGGCCTGAGGGTGCCGTTCTATTCAGTGACTTGGAGATAGAAAAGCAGAAATCCAGTTCTCCTTGTGATGCTTAAGTTCTGTGCTTTCTCAAAGCCTGAACGCCTCCCCTCACTGTGTGAATCTAGTATTTAAAACTATGTGTGTGTGTACATACATATGTGTGCGTACACACACACACGCACGCATAGCAATACAGATGAACATGTGCATCTTGTCACTGCTGTCTCACAACTCCTGATCAACAACACACCACCCCTCCGGTGTTGAGAACATATCCGTATGCACTAGTGCTGCAGGAGCACAGCCTGGTTTGTTTTCTGCCTACTGCAAGGTAAGAGAGAACTATATTTTATTTGAGAGATCTGTCAAGTTTAATTTTTAGGTGGATGTGAATGTTTTCTGCCTTAATGTTACTTCCCTACTCCCATACCCCCCCCCCCAGAGTTACAGTTCCCTTGCATATTGGTGAATCCAGTTTATGGCACTAGAACTGAGATAGTGGGTGTGGTGAATACATGTATGGAGATGTCCAGCTGTTCTGAAGCTTATGTAGTATTGTCAGCCAAGCATAGAAATTTTATTTTAAGAGTTACCAAACTGTAACAAAATGGGAGGGCTGAGCACAAGGGACTATGGTGATGGATTGTGGGTGTTGTGGTGGCTTGAGAAAAACAGGCCTGACACCCGAGGGACTGTACAAAGTCAAGAAGTCAAGACTACAAAATGTCAAGACTGTATAAGAAGTCAAGGACTATACAAAAATGAACAGTGATGTAAGAAAATAAATAAGTAAATCTAATGATAAATAAAGTTACAAGTTTATTAATGATAAATAAAGTTACAGAGTGAACCCCACCATGATATCACTAACACTGACATGTCTATCAACAATCACAAAACAAAGGATTGATTTCCAGTCCAGCTTCCTTACTTCAAGTACAGATGTTCTCAATTTGATCTTGCCTAAGTCATAAAGTGAAAAAAAAAAAATCCTTAAAACCAAAAGATCTTAAGCTATTCACTGCAGCTAGAGAATTAGATGCAGGGTCATCTTCTCAAACACATCTCCTCTGAATCAGCCAGTCCCAGACTTCAATATCAGAGTAGCAACATCATGAAGCAGCAGCTCCCCACTGCCTCCTTCTGGCTATATTATCCCCAGCTGAGCATGGCCAAGATGTCTTATTACCAAGGGACGTGGTATCTGGCCACCTCCCGTCGCCTACAAAGTCATGTTTGTCCTTCTATTCCAAAACCTCGACCTCTTTCCTTATGAAGTGGCTTCACTTCTCTTGAGGTTCCTATAAGTGGAGATTTCACTTCCTCCTCTAATACTTCTGGAGCTTAACCTCTTTTCTCTATTAGAAATCACAGGGTTGGTAGCTCAATGTTTGTTAACTTAGTATCTAGAAGCTAAAAGATTATAGAAGACTTTATTCATTTGTTTCAGCTCTTGTCCCTAATTACAGATATCACTGCAAAGTGAACACTCATTGCAAAGTGAACACTGTTGCAGGGAGTTTGAGAGGAAGCTGATTCTGCATTCCTAGATGAGTGCTAATCACTGGGAGCTGATTCTCTCCCTCAACCTGGCCAAGGAACTTCAGAAAAGATGCTTTGGTTCTAGAGGGACAAGCCAGGGAAATTTAAAAGCTAAGACAGGAAGTTTTTAATCATTTCTGAAATGACTCATATACTTCTTTTAAGTGATAGTTTCTGAATATTATGGAAATGAGAGTGGCACCCAGTCTTTATGTATATATATATTTAACTTATCACTTTAGATTTTAACATTACATAGCGACGGTGATGACTTTAATGCTTATTTCCATTGCTTTGGTAACTCATTATTGTGGTTTGTTTCATTCATAATTATGTAGTTAATCAAAACACTTGGGCTTAGTGGACCTCCCTAGCAGCACTGGGGTTAAATCTCAATGCTGTCTATCATAGCTGTGGCCTGCGTTCAATCTCGAGAGAGGGAGCTATCCCACGTAAAAGTAAGCCTCTCCTGTCTTGCCCTCTGCTCCCCTCAGCAGTGTATTTCAGTGGGTTCACCTGTTCTCCCCACTCTCTCTTTGAATCCTCTCACCCCACAAATATTGCATCTATTTCCCAGATCTTCAATGCCTAAATAAATAAAAATCTTAAAAAAATACGCTTTTCTTAGCAACACTGGAAATAAAGGGAAATGCAAGGGCCCATTACTGCCCTGTTAACATTTACAAACTATTTGAAAACTATATCTAGAAATTGAAATAAACACAAGAAATTTATACTTAAAATCTCCACTAATGGCACAGAAACTATGAACAATAGAGCAACAAAGATGACAAAGAAGATGAGCTGTGATGTTTGAAGGAAGTGGGAAGCCAAGATCAGACCTTTTTTTTTTACCATACAGGAGAAGGAAAATATCTACATTTTTTCATTGACTTATTACTCAGTAAGTCTTTACATGTTAGGCTTCGATGATTCAGGTGGACAAGATTAAAATAGCTCCTATTCTCATGGAAGTGGGAGACAGATGGTAAACATGGTATAGGTATTAATAGATGGGAATCCTCTCCAGTGTCAACATTCATGAAAGTTCAATAGAGGTCACGTAGGCAGAGGATGGGACAAGAATCACCTTACCTTGTAGGGACAGCCTTAGACACTGTTGTCTTAGGGGATTCAGACCAAAGTGCCACCTTGGTTTTTAGTTCTTTGTTCTAACGGTGAAAAAGAAAAGTGCAGTGGTCACAGATTACACAGTAACATGTGAAAGGGCACCGCTTAATGCTTCTGATCAGCTCTGACATCACTCCTTGGCAATAAGTCAATGGATCTAGTCTTTTGGAACACAGAATATGGTCAGTTGAGAACCTCTGACTATCATCTCTGAAACGATAAACATAACTGGAAAATTGCATAATTTTCCAAGGAATTAAATATTCTTCTTTAGTCTCTGAAATTCAAGAGCTGAGTTATCTATTTGGTTTTACAATATTTTATACTGTATATATTTGGTTTATAATATGAGAACTTTACTAAAGAATCTTCTTAAAGATACTCGTGATTGTGATTATATGTTTGTCATTCTTTTGCAATCTCTTGATTATAAATTTCATATAAATAGCATCATCTGTTCTTCACCTTGTGCTTCCTGGCATTTTTAGCCTCAACTTTCTCATTAAATCCTTAGCTTCTTCATCTTTATACAAATGGCCAATGGTCTGTGTCCTGCTGCTGTGTATGAATTGTTGGAAATTGTAGTATAATATTTGGAATCTGGAAATCCAGGATCTCCAATCCTGGGAGATAATGCTAGTAACAGCCTAGCCATGGACTAGCTAAGTGACCTCATACAAGTTAAAGGTCTCTGTCCCTAATTTTCTCATCTGTATAATCGATACAATCTTAAGCTCACCTTCGTAGTTCTGAAATGAGGTAAAAATATACAAAATACTCAGCTTCGTGCCCCTAACCAAGTTAAGACTTAAAGACAGTGGTTATAATTTTCCAATTCAAATATTATTTTTGTAACTACAAACTGAGGTCCAAAGAGTTTCACTGCCCAATGTCTTGTTCATCGCAGAGTTCAAGGTCAAAGCTTCTCAGTCCAAGAGCAATATTTTCTCTACAACCTAGACAAGCCAAACAATTTCATCTCACAGATCTGGAAAAAGAGACTTAATCAGAAGAGTACCTCATTTAAGTTTGAGTTGCCAGTAGGTTGCCTTAGCAGGCCAGGGCTCATTAAACCAGAGGTCTTTAAAGGGGACACCATCATGAACAGTTCTGAGATGGAAAGGAGGCAATGGGAGGGTGGTGGGTGAAATTGTGGCATTAAAGAATGACACACCAGCTCCACCCCCTTTTAGAAAACTGAGGACTGAGAGAATCATATCATTGAAGTTTAAAAGGTATTTCTGTAAAGCCCACCTGAAGGTTTGAAGCAAACCAACAGCAAAATGCATGGTTTTGAGAAAAAAAGCTCCAGAATATTAACGAAAGCAAGAGAGTTAATCACGAATGCCTAGCAAATGTCAAGACTTTGGCCAGGTGCTTTCCATATATTCTTCTCTTTGCTATGAACACAGTTCTACAGAGTAACTTTTATTGCTTTGCATATCAAAGAAACAAGCCTGATGAAACTCAAATTCATCAGGTAATGTGCCTCAGATAACTTGCCACTTTAGGACAGAACATGCAGGCTTTGTGCAGGTCTATTTGACCCCCAAGCCATTTCAACTGCAAAATATTTTTCTGTGATTAAAAAGAATTAGTCCAGGCTCTTTAGCTTACAAATAAGTAAATGATGAGCCCCAGGAAATACAGAAAGTCAGTGATTTCTGAAGGGATTCCAGAAATGCGTCATTGCTTGACTCATTCAGTATTTGGTAGTTATTGAAGATGCTTGTCCTTAGCTGTGCAGGAAGTAAAGAGAAATGCAAGGAACTATTCCATCCCTCTTAACATTTACAATCTATTTGATTTGACATAGAGAGATAAATATTAAAAAGAAGAAAGCAAACTGTCAGGAAATCAGCAATTCCAGCCTTACAAATACACACCTCAGCCATCTGTCTCTGACAGATGTCTGGTCAGACCACTTCAAGACTCAGAACTTTGTACTGAAGATGCCTCTCTCTCTCTACAGAGATTTTTTTTTTTTTTTTTAAAGAACAATGAAACCCCTTAAGGCTGAGGAGAAGCTTCTGTCTTGCCTATATAACTCCCCCCTGAACAACAAAGATCAACACATTCTAAAGATCCACCTTTTTTTCTAGTCAGATAAAGAATCCCAGCTTTCTGCTTTTGGGTCCTAGAAGAATGTAGTTTCAGGGGGCCTTATCTGGTTGAAGGCTTATCAGGACCTTGTTGTCCTTATCTAAGTGATTCTATCTTTATGGTCAGAGTAAGGAAGACCCTTCTCCTAGCCTGTCATGTGTAGTCTCCACCCCCTGCTCCTTGACACTTCTATCCCTAAACACAGGATAAGTATCCCCATTACACTACATTATATTGTAGAAGTACAGCCATGTATTATGAATTCTCCATATGTGATGTCGTTTTTGGAGTTCCGGGTCCCTGGGTTCACTCTGGAAAGGTTTCATCAGAGCTCCTCTTTCAGGGGCACATGGTGAGATTCTTCACGGGACAGAGACTCCGTTATATTTTAAGAGTAAGTTTGCTAGAAATAAACAGGAGAGGAAAAGACACTTGCATAGGCAAAAGCAGGCAAGAAGAGCTGCCCCCAAAGGGATAGGTTTGCAGAGAGAGACCTGCATGCTTGCAGGCAGGCGGCCTTAGGAGAGCGGCCTCCCCTGAGGGAGGTCAGTGCAGAGAAGTCCTGGCACGGTACAGGTCACCGGCAGGCAGGAGGCTGCTGCCCACAGAGGGAGAGAGCGGGTGGGGAGAAACACTTGCACAGGCACAGGTGGGCAGAAGAGCGGCTGCCCTGATACAGACAGCCTCTCCCTGGGAGAGGCTCACTCCTGAGAGCCTGGGTTTGTTGACTTTGAATAGAATCTGAAAGGCCCGGACATTCCCTAGAGAGCTTCATCTCCAAGTCCTTATCTTTTACCTTTTGGGTCTGAGCTTCAGACCCAGCCCCCACAGTCTGTTATCTGCTGAGATCTCCTGCAGACATCCCCACATCCTGACAAATCCTGGGCTTTGGCGCCTGAGGACCTTGATTTTCTGGCTATGTCAACTGCTGCACTAGCCCCTTCTGTCTGTCCCCTTTGTGTGACTCAGTCTTGTGATGCCTCCCCTGCATTCCTTCCCCCATCATAGGCATGTTTTTAAATTTAAGCTTTTTCTCTTACTAATGTCTGATAAACAAATTGTCATCAACTTGTTCATGTCTGATATCAATTTATCTGTCCAAACTTAGAAAAACTCAGAAATGGATGGGAGAAATGTCTTCCGCACCCAACAACACCATTTTAGGGACAAAGGGAATCTGAATAAGCATAAGAATGCGCTTCAGTTTTAGTGTAAAGATGATAAAGCAAATGTGAACATCAAAATATTTTTAATTAATAAGTAGATAAAATGAAAACAATTCAAGAGAGGCCATGATGCAATAGGTAATTAGTAACTACAAAAGAGTACAAATAGGTGTCAGCATGATTAAAATAAATGTGAAATTTTATACACTAGGAGCTAACACCTGAACCTGAAGATAGACTAGGCGGAAAAGAAGGGAGGAACAGAGATTTAGATAACGATTTAGACAAAGTGTGATAGTGGGATCAGCAATACCAAAAGAACCTGGGAAGTTATTAGAGTGAAAAATCTTCAGTCCCCAGCCCAACTTCCAGAATCAGTGTCAGGTGACATGTTTTTGTTTTTGTTTTTTAAGATTTATTTATTTATGCATACAGAACTGGGGTACAGGCCAGAGGTACATGGGCAGTGAGAGGATTCACGAGAGACAGAGTGGGGAGCAGAACAGGCTGATGGACAAAGTACACTGCTGAGGGAAGCAGCGGGCGGGTCAGGAGAGGTCTGTTGTGCTATGTGGTCACCTCCGGGGCTGGGGATTCAACTCACACTGAAAGGCCTGTGGCCAGTTTGCAGTGCTGCATCCTTTCCCCTTGGACCACCAGAGAGGGCCCCAAGTGATGTAGTTTAAGAAGCTTACCAGGTGATTCCATTGGCTGCTCAAGTTGAGAACCACTGAACTGAAGTAATAGTTTTGCATGTTGGTTGTATTTTGTAAATCTCTGGGGAGACTGAAATCTTTGGGAGACTGAGTCCACCCCTAGGGAGCCTGTCTAATTGTTTGCAACTGGGATTCAGAAGGTTGCAGAACTGCACAGGTGACTCTAATGCGCAGGTCATTAATACACAGAATAATGCCTCATCCCTCAACATCTATAGTGAATAATGCTTAAAAGATGGAGCAGAAGTCTTCACACCCCAATTATATCACTGTGATATTTCAAGAGCTAAGCACTTAAGTCTCACTCAGGAAAATTACTTCAAATCTGATAAACTGATGAGGATATTCTTTGTATAAAGAAGTTAATTCTAATATATACTCCAAGCAAGTGTAGGCACCTATCATAGGTCAAGTATGTGATGGAGGAAAACTCTTCCCTCTACTGTACTTTTCAAGCTAGAAAGCAATTTGAAACACAATTATCATGATGAAAATGAACATTAGAATAAAAATATTCTGTGGCTGGACAATTACATATTCTATTTGGATTTTTTTTTTAATAAGCTATTCATTTCTAAAGTCATCAAGTACCAAACAGTACAAAAGCATACGATTTGTCATGTTAGACTGTCTTTATTTGAATTTATTTCAAATTCCACATTGATTTAGTTCACCTGCCAGGTTTAAGTATTTATTCTTGATTCATGGGCTTTTGTAGCTTTTCATTTCATTAAAACAGCTCCATGCATGAGTTTTATCATATCATTAGTTTACAAAACTACAAACCACTGACAGAATATAGCTACCATTATTATTACTCTATCCAAGGAGATTTTATTGACACAGTTTTCCAAATGACCCTCATTTTTTGCATACTTAATCTTCTATCAGTACACTCTTGGAACTGGATTCAATTTTAGATATGATGGTGATTATATAAAGTGGAATAATCCTCAAATTTTAGAAAGTAGAGTAATTTCTGAAGATGCATTTACATGAACAGGTTATAAGTGAAGGAGCTAGGAATTCATGGAGCTGGAAATTAAGGTGAAAGAGATGCAAAAGTAGAAGTAAGAATAAATAAATTTGGGTTTCCTAATGGTGCATGAGTTAAAGCTTCAACACTATCAAGTTACTGGCAACCAGTGCAGCATGAATTCGATCCCCAGACAAGGAGCTAATGAGTAAATGAGTTGCAGAGTAAGATGAGAAAGTAAAAAAAAAAACTGCTAGGACAGAAAGAATATCATAGAAGAAGAAAGACATTTACCACCATGACTAGAAAAGCTAGAAAATAAGAAACATTTTAAGATAGTAGCTATAATGTCTAAAATTAATATAAATGGTGATGCAAACTCAATAGAATAAGTATTCATTTCTAAATATATACTGTATACACACACACACACACACTCTCTCTCTCTCTACATTTGTTCACCCAGATAAGTAGATATTTTGGGAGGGAGAACTAGTTCAAAGTCAAAAAGATTAAATTAAGTTGAGTGCTTCTTTAATAAATTTCTTAGCCACTTTAAATTTCAGTTTTATCACTTATAAAACATAATAAATATTAACCACTCAAAACACTAGTTTTGAACAAAAGCAGAATGAAGTATGAAGGTATAAAGTTGTCACTTTGAAATTACATAGTCGTATAATGATTGCCAAGTCAATTAAAAAAATAATAATAATAAAAGGGCCCTCCCTAGTGGAACAACGGGTTCAGGTGCAGCACTCTGAAGTTTGGTGCAGCTGCTTCTGTGCAAGTTCCATCCCTGGCCAAGGAAATGACCCACAGGGCATGGCAGACCTCTCCTGACCTGCCCACTGCTCTCCTCAGAAGTATATTTCAGTACATCTGCCTGTTCTGCTCTCCACTCTGCCTCTGGTGAATCCTCTCGCTGCTCCTGCATCTCTGGCCTGTACCTCAGTTCTGGATGGATGGATGGATAGATAGATACATAGATAGATAGAGGACCAACCCATGACACTACAAGTTACATGCTCATTTACTATGTCTATCTTCTCACCAGACAGAAAATTCCAGAGTGCAGGGCTCATATCTACATTGTTCAGTTTTACTGAAACTTAGCACCCATGCCAATCACTAATTACACGATTAATGATGTTAACAAGCAAGTGAAATAAAGTTTATAAATGCAGTAAAATAGGTACTGTCTGATGTTATATGTAAGATCTGACTTAGAAATATAAACACAGATATAGACAAAAAGAATCCCACAGAAATACAGATAAGCAGGAGTGTTCTGAGTGATTCCCTAGGTGGTATGCTTACATGGTTTTCTCACTATTTCCCTTACCCATATTTTCTAATTGTATATTAGTTATGCAGAATAATAATAATAAATATATGCATATATATATATATATAATAAAATATTTTATTGATTAACATGTGCCAAAAGACCACCTAGAAAAACTGTGTTTCTTGCTACAAACAAACCAGCCATTACTGGACACTTGTGTGGACAAATGATCATAGAAGCACACTCCAATGAAGAAAAACACACACTCACACACAGAAATAAACACCAGGTTCGCTCCTTACCTGGGCTTCAAGTATGTTGACTTTCTCCTTCAGATTTTCAATTTTTTCATCTTGTTCTTTTAAATTATTTTTTAACCCTTCCATCTAAGAATTCAGAAACACAATCAGAAAAATCTCATCAGACAACAGGAAAGAGTTACTTAAGTCCAAAACTGCATAGGTCTCTGTGGTCAAATAATGTTCATCAAATACAAACAATAAATTCCAAAACATTAGTGGACTCAGCAGGCTATAGAAACTATGGGGCAAATAGTCCCCTGAGGCTAAGGACACAGAGACAGGCTAACAGTGCTGTTAAATATTTTCAACTTTGGAAAACCCATGCCAGGCAAATTCAGCAGGGCACATCCTGTGGAAAGCAGTCCTGGTCCCCCTTCCTTGGCACAGGTACCTCACATTTTCATGCCGAGGACAAAGAGGCCAGTGGATGTGGGCAGGGCTCCATGTGGCTTGGGCTTCGAAAGCCCCGAGGTAGAGATCTGGTCAACCTGAGTCTGTAGGAGCTGAGCCCACTTTGTTTTGAAAGAAAAAGTCCAGAGGTAACATGAAATGGGGGACACAGGGATGAGTGCAGAATGGTACAGGGAGAAATGGGACTCATGGGTTTGAAGGTCAGTTCTGATGCTGCCCACTTGCTCACTTAACCAGTGTGCTCCTCGTTTTCTCAGTGTGGGCTACCCCCTAGTTTCCTTCTGGCACTCAAGTATTGTGAGTCAGTTCTCTAGCCTTGTGGTGAGCTTGCAGCTAAGCGATCGCAACATCCATGCATGTTACAAAGACATTTGAGTTATGTGGGATGGCTCTTTTTGAGAACAAATATTAAGTAGTAAAAAAAGGTATAAAGTACCTATTTTAAAACAAAAACAGATCACCCCTCCAAATCAGATGAATGCATGCCCTACAATAGATTGGATGAATGTACAAGCTACAGCTAACTGGCCACTACACTCATCTCTTCTGCTTCACCCACCAAGATGTTCCTAGAGAAGAAGGACCAGGCTACACTCTGTACTAACATCCCTCCAGAGAACATCTGCTTATGAGCTGATGAAAACAGCTCATTTCTTCCTCAAAAAGAGCTGAGTGGGGCCCTCCCTGATGGCACAAAGGACTAAAGGGTTAAAGTGCATCACTATGAAGCTAGCTGCAACTGCCTCAGCATGAGTTCAATCCCTAGTCATGAATTAGATCCCCTGCCAGAGAGGTGACCCACATGGCATGGCAGACCTCTTCTGACCAATCCACTGCTCCCCTCAGCAGTGTACTTCGTCAATCTGCCTGTTCTGCTCCCCACTCTGTCTCTGGTGAATCCTCTCACTGCCCTGCACCTCTGGTCTGTACTCCAGTTCTGTATGCATAAATAAACAAATCTTAAATAAATAAAAAAAAGGAGCCGATTTGCTGTTCTATCGAATCTTCTGAAGAATAGTGAATATTATCTGGCTTAGAACACATTTTTAAAAAATCACTGAAACATTTACAAAGTAGTTCAACAGAATTTCCCAAACATTTTTACTAAGGGCATCCTAGGTGTTGACTCACAGACAAGATGGGTTTTGAAATGGCCACATTGCATCAGAATATTGGAAAAATAAAAATCAGTGAGGGGAAGAACCTCATTGATTTTAAGCCCAGACAAGCCACATGTGTTTGGTCTCCACTCTGCAAACAGACCATCTACCAGAGAAACACACTTGATTAAGCTGACCTCCTGGATGGCACTGCGCAGGTTCTGGTGTTGGGAATGAATCACAAACTGCAGATGAGAGATTTGCTCCTGGAGAAGGGCAATCTCCATCTGAAGATCCTGGCAACTAGAAATGCAAAAGGAGGTGGGACAGAAAAATAAGAAAAAGATGTTGATTTCTTATATGATTATTTTTATAGCCATGCCTGCAGGCTCTACATGCATGCATGCACACGCACACACACACACACACGACACTACCAATGGATCATGTGGGTGAGATGCTCAGGGTCCCATAATCGAACAAGATATACAATAGAAGGCAAACAATTAACACATTCTGTAGAGCTGATGGAATTAACTAAAATGAGAATATCAGTTCAACTCAAAAATATCAATTCAACTCAAATGTTCCTTGGGCCACTAAACATTTCACTTTGTTTTGGATATAGATCTTTTAAGATGTCAGACCAGAATTTAGTCATTTCAGTTTCACCTGGTTTGCACTCCTGAGCAATTTTTTGATCTATTTGGAGCGAATAGGATACTTTCAGTTGGTTTTACTTTTGTTTACAGTTGGGTTCGGTTCAGGTGGTTCAAAGGGCTGAATCCAGTTCCAACATGTTTAAAATGGCTGAAACGGATTCTGACTGGATGAAACTGAGTCTGACTAACTGAAACCAGTCTTAACCCACTTGGACAAGTTCTGACTGGTTCAAACTGGCTGAAATGCTTTTGGACAGTTTAAATTGGATGAGGCCAGATTTGACCAGTTGAGACCATCTCTGACTGGCTGAAACCAGTTCAAACTGGCAGAAAACAATTTTGACTGGTGTAAACAAGTGCCAGCCAGTTCAAGCCTGATGAAACTGGTTTTGACCAGCTGAAAAGCGATTCTGACTGGCTGAAACCGGCCATGACCAGCTCAGACTAATTCTGACTGGTTCAAACTGACCAAAGCCAGTTTTTTCCAGATCAAACTGGCAGAGACTAGACCTGACAGGCTGAAACCAGTTCTGATCAGCTCAGACCAGTTGGCTGAAACCAGTTTATGCTGACTGAGACCAGTTCTGACCAGTTTAAGCTGACTAGACCGGTTTAAACTGGGGGAGACCAGATGTGACCTGTTGACTAGCTCAGACCAGTTCCAACTGGCTGAGACTAGTTTAAACCGGCAGAAATCGGTTCCAACCAGCTGAATCCGGTTCTGATTGGCACAAACCATTTCTGTCTGGCTCAAACAAGTCTTGACCGGTTTAAAGTGGCTGAAACTGGTTTTGGCTGATTTAAACTGGCTGGGACTGGTTTAAGTGGGGTGAAACCAGTGTTGACCAGCTGAAGACAGCTCTGACTGGCTGAAGCTAGTCTTGACCAGCTCAGACAAGTTCAACTGGTTCAAAGTGGCTGAAATTGGTTTTGACTGGTTCTTGCATACCTTTTGCTGTGGGCAGCATTGGGTTTGAGTTGGAGCAGCTGCTTTTCCAAAGCCAACTTCCTTTCTAGCAGAATTCTCCTTTCCTAGGGGAAAAATAAAGGACAATCTTTAGTTACTTCTCCCTTTCTCTCTCTCTGTATACACATGTGAGAGAGAGAAAGTGTGTGTATGTGTGTGTAAATTCTTGCAAATTGTTCAGATGCATTTTAGTGAAGAATCAAGGCCACAAATGATAGTCACTTCATTTTTTTGGAGATGAAAGAAACTACAACAGAAGAGAAAATATCTAAACAAATTCCTTGTAGCATTCTTGTCACATATAGAAACTGTGCTGATGGAGTCCTAATTCAATACTAATTATTTCTAAGGGATCACAGATAAACCTTGCAAGCTTATTACGATACTTGGATCAAAGGAATATATCTTTGATAACATATTTTGGATTTTCAGAGAAGAAAATAGTGTCTAGCAAACATTCTTCTTACGAACTTACTCTTGATTCATGGATCTTCATAACCAGGGTTCAAGCAGACCAGATGGCTGGACAATTGAACTTTACACCTTAGCCAAATGTCTAGGTTCTAGTTTGGCTGCTTAATGCTTCCTTTCTGACAACAGAAATTCACACTCATCCAGCTACTCTCAGGGACAGTGTCTCCTGGAAAGAGACAGGAGTGCACAGCACCACCCAGAGGGCAAACCTCCCCTTGGACGGCCTGAAGAATGTCCTCACCATTTTAATTGGAGCAAGCACCAATGAGAATTTGCCAAATGCTAACATCTAAATGACTTAGCAATGAGATAATCATTTTTATCTGGTATCACAGAAGATGGAACATGATGGAAAAGATTATGAACTTTAACTGGAGGACTGTGGAATAGCTCCTTGTTCACATTGTCCTCATTTATAAAACGATGATGAGAAACTCGGTGGTCTCAAAAGTGCCTTCGAGCTCTAAAAATCTAATAGAGTTAAATCAGTGACACTACAAAACAAATATGATGCAACAGAACTGCACAGCTAGTAAAGGAACATATGCCATATTAAAGTGCTCTTACTGGGCGTTTTTGCTGGCTTATCACTGTTTATGGAATTCATTCTCACTGCATTCTTGATTAAAGTGGGACAGATGGTGAAGGTTTTAAGTAATGTGTTCATTACCAGACCTCATACCACTAATGGCTATTTACTAGAGCACTGGCTTGTTCAAGTGAGTAGAAAATGAATCCTTCTCCAGGGGGCACTCACTACCATGGCAGTATTTATCAACCTTTGTTCTGGATGCTCATTTTTAATTTTCATTTCCTCTTAGAATCATGCCGTTTTCCTAATACAAAAATCTCAGACCCCATTTCACTCATGCACACTACGCTTTTGAGAAAACCCTGTTTCACAGACTGTATTCTGAGTATCTGCTTAAACCAAGATATTACCAAAGATTGCTTCTTATAGTTTTAGTTATTTGCTTGTTTGTTTTACAAATAAAAAGTATAAAACCTCTTTCATATTTTCCTTCCACTCCATGCCCGCTGCTTCTGCCTCCCAGGGATTCCACTAAGTTCCACTACAGGAAGTCACTGAATGCAGGTATTCTGAAAGACGATGGTAAAGTTTTCTGAATCATGGGCAGCCTGGCCACTTACTCTGCCAAAGAGAAGCCCACCATCAATGGTCAACATCACACAGCCCACTGTCAATGGTCAACATCAAGATAAATGCTAGGCCACTTCTCAAAAGTGGCTGCCAGACTCTGAGGCACTAAGCCCATCCCCACTATCCCCCTATCTTCCCTAGAAGGGTCTACCTCCCTAAGGACACCTAAAAGAAAGGCAATCTGGGAAGTTCCTGGAGCACCACCCAATCCAGATATATTGCATTGGCTTTTTTTTTTTTTTTAAATATTTTATTTATTTGTGCATACAGAACTGGGGTACAGGCCAGAGACTCAGGGGGTGGCGAGAGGCTTCACCAGAGACAGAGCGGGGAGCAGAACAAGCAGATCGACGAAGTACACTGCTAAGGGGAGCAGCAGGTGGGTCAGGAGATTTCTGCCACGCAATGTGGTCACCAGCAGGGCAGGTGGGAATCGAACTCATGCAGAAGTGGCTTTAGCTTCTTAGTGCTGTGCTTTAACCCACTGCGCCACGAGGGAGGGCCAGCATTGGCATTTTTACAGAAAAAACTATATCTGATTCATTGGCAGCTCTACCTAGCACATGGTAGGTGCTCAAATATTGTTGAATAAACAGTCTAGTGAATATATCCCCAAATTCTGAAATGGATTCACATCCAGTGCAGACTATCAAAGGTTGCTTGGAAAAGAAGGTTATTTGAATGAATTATCCACTGTTCTTTTGTGAATTTTCAGGGACTGACAGCTGGCAACAAAATCTGAAGTAGTGTGAATATCAAGCTGACTAGTCAAGTTGCTTGGTTATACGACCCCATTTGGTTTCCAGAATTGTCTTCCTTTCCTAAACAAAAATATTCTGTAAGCTATCTTGGCTTGTTGAACTATATCATTACACAATAAATGTTCTAACACTGAAGTATTCATCCAATGTTACAATTTGGAATAATCATAAGCTATCACACCTTAGCAAACTGCCTATTTGAGGACTTCTAGCTCAGTGATTCTGACTCAGAATAGTGACCCATAATACAATGTAGATGTAGCTGATATATTGTTAGTATCATTATTAGACTAAGCTGACTTTGGGGCAATTTAGTTTTTTTGATTTTCTCATAGGATCATCACAAAAGTTACAAACTTAGTCAAATTCACTGTGCTTTGAATTCTTGAGAAATATTGTTAATCAAAGTTAGCAAGAAATCTGGATATAGAATTGCAATGCCTTTGAAGGGACATTTTAAAAATAACATTAACCCAGACATTTTCATAAAACAAAATAGGGCTTAAAAGAGCAGAGCCAAATAGAGGATTTAATATCATGAGCCTAAAAATGTACTGGGTCATATTTACAAGAACTCTATTCTTATCTACTCCATATTCTATTTCAGAGCTGCCAATTGTCTATTTGTTTATTTTGCTACTAAAAAACAGTATATCTTAGTTTGTCTGAATTCTAAATTCTAAGGCATGCATAACTAAATTTACATGTTCACCCTTTGTGTGTGTTTGTAGTGCCAGCTACTTAAAAGAACACATAAATTTTTAAATAATTTTTATTCTGTGATTACTCTTTCTGAACTTTGGGGATATATTTTTAATGTTCCAATTTCCATAGACTGGCTTTTCTTTTTTTTTTAAGGTTTATTTATTTATGCACACAGAACTGGGGTATAGGTCAGAGGGGTAGAGGAAATGAGAGGACCCACCAGAGACAGAGAGGGGAGCAGAACAGGTACACTGATGAAATACACTGCTGAGGGGAGCAGTGGGGAGACAGGAGAGGTCTGCTGTGCCAGGTGGTTCATCTCCCTGGCTGGGGATCGAACTCGCGCTGAAGCATCTGTGGCTAGCTTCGCAGTGCTGCACTTTAACCTGTTGCACCACCAGGAAGGGCCTAGACTGACTTTTCTTAATGTAAAATATATCTGCACCAGTGCTGATTTGTTTTTAAACCTAAAATGAACTCAGGTGACCAAAAATGGCTATGCCGGACTCTACTCCGTGAAGATGCTGTGACTACAGGGATCCACTATGTTAAGCAGACTGTGATCCTTGCTATTGCTTCCACTATCAGCCTCAGCTGGCTCCTATGTCACATTTTTCGTAGAAAGTGAAAGTGACAAAGATTATATTTGTAAAGAGGTAAATCAGTAACTACAGAATCAGTCACACCAAATGTGTAAGAGAAGAAAGAACATGATGGAATTCTTGCTAACGTCTTAGGAGTTACAAAGAGAACATCATTTAATATTATCTTATTTATTTTAGTGTAATTTTCTTTCTCATCCTAATCCTGTCAGGAAGAAATTCCCTTAATTCTTCAAAGGTTTACCTTTTCCATTCTCTGTACAAGGTTCTCCAATTCTGTGATTTGACTATGTTTTTCTTCAAGCTTTCCACTAACTTGATTCAGGTCTTCAACATGTTGTTTCAATTTCTGTTCATTTTCAAATTTGTTCACCTTTGGTGAAAAGAACAGTTGTCAGAACATTCCTTTTATAAAACCTTTACAAAAACTCTCTTCCTTGATAATTTTGCAGGTAGACAAAAGAAATAAACACCATTCACACTTATTTACAATTACATTTTTTAATTCATTTCCTTCAAACTAAACCAGATGGATTATGACAATACTAAATAAATGGAGAATTAATAATATAGAAATATTTAAATATAAAATATTCACAATATTTACTATAAGGCTTCTACCTGCAGTGGTAGAAGAGAGACACTTATCTAAGAAAAGCAAAATTTTTTATTTTATTTCAGCAAAACATCTAGAACAAAGCAACAATGTTATATGTTCAAGTAAAACATGCTTTTTTTTTTTTTTAATCAGAGAGTGTCATAAAAGCAGAATCGTCAGGGGCTTATTCATGGGCTTTTAGCAGGAGCAGTGTTCAAAAACTGAGGAAGAGACCTCATCTTGTCTGCGACCCCACAGGCCTCCTTTGGCGGGCTTCAGCAGGCCTCTAACTGATATGAATGCACATCTGCGTTTGCATTTCGTAGAATTTAGGATTTTATGTCAAAAGAAAGTGCCCAGCTCCTCTGGAAAAAACCAGGTGGGTATGCCCAGCAGCTGCAGCCTGAGTTCAGTGCCTGGCAAGGACTCTGCAATCAGGCCACAGCGGTGGAGGAAGGAATAGAAAATCCAAAGAAGGCATCACAAGGTGACTCACACAAGGAGTTGGGGGCTGAAGGGATTAGCATAGCCATTGACCCAACTAGACAAACTGAGATTCTAGGGCCACTGCCTAGATTACAAAGCACAAGACCCAAGTGGCTATCAGACTGCTGTAGGGAGTATTTATAGAGTCCAGAGCCAAGGTAAGGACTGGGAGATTGAGCCCATTGTGGGGCCTCCTGTCCCTTTCAAATTCTACATAATTTATTCAAAAGCAGCAACAAATCCAGGCTCACCAAGAGCAGGCATCTATATCAGTGCATCTTTGCCCTGGCTCAGGGCAGCGGTCCTGCCCACCTGTGACTATGCAGGTGCTTCTTCCCCCCACTTTCTCCCTCTGCAGGGCTGCAGCCTCCTCCCTGCCCATGACCTGCACCTGCCGGGGCTTCTCTTCCCTGACTTCCCTCAGCAGAAGCTGCTCTCCTCGAGGTCACCTGCCTGCAACCATGCAGACCTGTCTCTGCAAACCTGTCTCTTTTGGGACAGCTCTTCCTGCCCGCTTGTGCCTGTCAAGTGTCATTTACTCCTCTGTCCTTTTCCCTAATAAACCTGCTCTTGAAATATAACTAACATCTCTGTCTGGTGAAGAAATTCACCTGGGAAACTTGCCACGTGCCGCTGAAAAAGGGGAGCTCTGGGGAAACCTTTCCCAGAGTGAACCCAAGGATCCCGCACTCCACACACCCACTAACTCCTGCCCACCAGCCAGTGCACTCCACCTCTTGGCTCTCCACCATCACGTGTACACGTGAGTGAGTACATGCCCCCGGCATGGCCTCAGCACCACAGCCTGCCACTAAAGCACTGGGTGCCCCTGCTGCCCCTTCGGGACCTCTCTAGCCTGAGCTAACAGAGGCCTGGGCACCCAACCCAGCTTGAGTGAGCTGCCCTATTTTGAACTTCAGCAAACACACACAAGATACATTTATTTTTTCTCTCTCTTTCAGTCCTAGAATACATTCTTCAGAAGAAAAAGAAAACCCACTGAGATGTGTTTGTATTATGAGAATGTATGTATATATATGCACACATACATATTTATGTTTTTATAGTTTTATGCATTTATATACTGAAGTGTAAAATATGGCATCTTAATATAATATATATTTTAAATATATGCATATACATCCATGCACAGCTTGGGTTGTCTGACCTAAATAATGTATTGCAGGACTAAAAAAATTTTGAAACCATTTAACCTAATCCAAGTCTTTCATTTGAGAGACACAGAAGCCATGTCTAGATGGGCTGAATGACCCAACCGGTGTTATCTGGTTAGTCAGAGGGAGAACTGGAAGACATCTCCAGCCATTCCTGGTTTCGGAGGGTGGCCAGAGGAGAGGTTGAGCCATCTCAGTCCTTTGGCTGAGCAAGAATGTAACACCACAACAACCTCCCCTCCTCTCCCCTGCCCTCCACTTCCACATCAGCCCAGCCTAGGCGGGGCTGAGGGAAATGGCACAGCAGAGGTGCAGCCTCCACAAGCCAGGGTCTGCCAGTCCCACGGCTGTTCCTTGTTTCACGCCCAGCTCCTCTCAAAAAAGGAGGGGCATCGGAAAGGCTAGCGGCCAAGCAGACTGGGGCAGTACCTGAAGCAAGTGTTGACCACCCTCGTGCTTCTTTCTAACTTCCTCAGACTGAGTCTGGTAGTTCTCAAATATCCTCTTGGCCACGTTCTGCAGAGCAGCTGCTCCTGCTTCCCTGGAGGCTTCCAGCTAAAAAGGAGAAAAAGTCACCTGCATGTTTTGACCTTTACAAAAAGGTAGACAGAGCAGTTTGAAAGACAATTAAAAAACAAAAAACAAAACAAACAAAAAAGGTACCATTCCCATCCTCCTAGGTAACAGGCAAAAAAAAAAAAACTGTTATCTGGGAAATGTGAAACAATAACCATCCTGTTTAATGGGACTGGCCAGCCCACAGCCACAAACCTCTCACACCCCCTCCAGCTATGGCAATTTATAGAGGCCCTCCAAGGAGTTCAAGTTTACAGCGCCCTGGCAGCTCAAACACTTGGAAGGAGTTTATCACTGATGTCCACCACAGCACTAAAAGATCCATTTTCCCCAAGGAGAAGTCAGATAAGATTGGTGTCCTAAGCACCATAAAGCTAAAGTCATGAATTTTTCAAGAATTTTACCTAAGGAACATATAAAGAGCAAAGTCATCTTCAAGACCCCATCCAGCGGTCATTTGTTACCTAAAAATAAAACCAGACTTATCTCCCCTCCTGATGACCAAGGAGCCAATGAATATAAAGTGGGTAGCTGATCTTTCTATCTCTGCAGGGCAGTCTTTCAAAAAGGAAGAGATTAAATCTTGATTCAGCAGATCTTTAGGACAATTCAGAATGAGAAGCCCCTCAGGGCAATAATTTACATTTTTAATGTCAATGGTTCACTACTCTTAGCATCACAAACTATATTCAAACTTGTGTTTATTGGAACATCCCTCTCAGTGAAAATTCTGTCAGACTCTTTCTGGGTTTGAATCCTCACTTTGATTAAGAAACTACTTGTCTAACTATCTTTGAAACTGTTTTGAGCTAACACAAGGATGGTTATAAAGATTTACTGACCAAGATATTCATTTCAGGACTGAATGTTAAATAATCTCCAGAAAGGAAAATACAGAACATCCAACAATAACAAATTGTAAAGCACTGAGCTCTCTATTCATATTTGTTAAATACATAAACACTTTTTGAACCGTTGAATTAGGAAAACTTAACATGACACCTACCCACAAATTGTCGCTACAGTATTGAGTGCAGCAGTATGTTCTGAATGAACTGCACACACTCCGAGGGTTTAGACTCCAATCCCACCTCCAAGCCAAAGCGATCCCAACTGAGTATTGCAACTCCCATCATGCCATGAACCTGTCATGACTCCTGACTTCTTGAATGGGGGGCATTGCTAACTAAGGGTGTAGTTAAGCAGCCACGCCTGGTATAATACCAAACGCACGTGGGCCTGGAGTTTGTTCAGTGTTCCATGGTTTTGCCTGCCTTCATCTTATACCCAGATCCCAGCTCAGACAGCGCTACTGGTAGTACTTACTGACCAATGCATTGCTTTCTTTCCTTTCTCTGTCTGTGCTTCCCTTCTTTCATTTCCCTTGTAAATAAAACTTTTATTTACCTTTCTAAGTGTATACCTGCCCTTGGGTCTTTCTTGTTCTGAGCTTTTTTTCAGCATTAGTGAGGACTCACACCCAGGCCACCCCATTTCCTTGGGGTTGCCCTGAAACATAGGTACAATGTGACACAGCTGATCTCTAGAACGTATGCATCTTGCTGAAACTATACAGGTAATAAACTTATATAAGCTTTTTAAATAATAAAAGTAGTTTCCAAAATAAAACAGTGGAATTAACTTATAAATGTAAAAATGCTTTTCTGTGTACATGGGTCTACATAGGACTATAGGTGTGTGGATGTCTACCTGCCTTCATAGATCTATGAATCTAGCCTATTGACTTAAAGGATACAATATTAGAGCCTTCCCTGGTGGTGCAGTGGGTTAAAGCACAGCACTATGATGCAATCACAGCCACTGCAGCACCAGTTCCACCCACAGCCAGGAGGGTGATCCACAAGGTGTGGCAGATCTCTCGTGACCCACCCACTGTTCCCCTCAGCAGTGTATTTCAGTACATCTGCCTGTTCTGCTCCCCAGTCTGTCTCTGCTGAATCCTCTCATTCCCTGCAATTCTGGCGTGTACCCCAGTTCTGTATATATAAATAAATAAAAGCTTTTTTAAAAAAACACATAATATTAGAAGCTTCTTCTAATGATTATACCTTGATCTTTAATACTTCATTCTCTTTGTTCATTTCTAAGAGCTGCAGGTCTTTTCCTTTCATCCTTTCCATGAGCATATCCAAACTGCAACAAGAGGGATCCATTTCAGAATCAGAGGCATTTTGAATGTTTCCACAAAGCTGAAATGAACAAACATGGTAATCACAGACCTGACTTTTCCTCTGCAAAGTTTGACAATAATATTACTCAGTATTATTACACATGGAAGATGCAGGTTAGTACAAATAAATCCTTTGAACCTCAAATATCATAGGGAATGCTAAATGAAGCAGCTAGCCTCTTTATTTGCTCAAGTTTGAATAGGCGCTTATATTAAAAAAGCAGAAATACATCTTTTATGCTAATATTGTACTATATTACATTTGCTAATATTGTACTGCACTATTAAGTCTTTTAAAGTCTATTAAGGCGATAGATAATCTCTTCAAGGTCCATTTTTTTAATGTAAGGTTTAGACATAAATGTATATTGATCATATTGCATTGAAAATTAATCTAACCAGTTCTTAAAAGACATAATAATCAGTGTTAAACTATACATTATATTCAACCCATAATAAATTTCCAAGCAGAGATGTCAGAACTGAATGTTTCTGTCAGTGCAGCTCTTCATAAACTCTGCAAGCTTTGTGCATAAAGTAATCCTCATCTGGAATGAAATTATGGAATAGTGGAGAGGGGAAGGAAATTTGGAACCATTAACTCAACCCCGTCACTTTTACAGACATGAGGACTGGAGGGCTGGGTTCCAAGTTTACAGAGCAAGTGAATGAGAACTCATGAAATATAGTCTCAACTGCATTACCGATCCCATTTGAATTAGGTCAAAGACCTCTGAACAGGGCCAAAAAGCAACTGTTTTAAGAACTGTCAAGCACACTCTTGTTTCAGAAGTCATCATCTTGAGGATTGATGATTATGGACTTTTTGCCAGAGGACAGAATCGGAAACTGATTATTAGCCAGGAATAGTTTAAGTTTGTCGACATTGCTCAACTTTTTTCTTTAATCACCTCTTTTCTTCCCATAATAAACCCTAACTTGGAGCATATTTTAGGTGTCTATCTCAATTTGTATATTCAGGAATGCAATTCTTTCACACTAAATAAACATATTTTGCCTTTTGAAAAGCTTCCTGAATTTCAGGATAACAATATGTAAAAAAAAAAAAAAATGTAGGTCAACCATTTCTTGTTAGTTCTCTACTGTGCCAGGCAATCTTTTAGATATTTTATACCCAGGTCTTCCTCTGAATACTCAAAATGCTAGAAGACATGTGACCTATTATGCAGATGAGGGATTTGAAGGTAAGAGAGTTTAGCTAACAAGTCCAAGGTTATATTTAAATTAATTGCCAGAATTCAAGTTTGACCCAAAAGCTGTACTACTTACACTATAATATATTAGATGCATTTATGGAAACAAAAACCTTGTAAGTACACTGCTTATAAATATGATCTGCATTACTCCTCTGCCATGGTTTTGTTCTTGTAGTTTTGCTCTTAGATCTTAGTGCGTCCTCTCAATATTGTTTATAGAACAGGACTTACTTTCTCTCTTAATTCATTAGCATTGACAGACAGACTCTTGCAGAGGGTGGATTTTAGTCTATTGCAGACAGCTCACAGGTCAATGACCTGTCTGGTCTGGCTGAAATATATGCTCTGATTGAGGAGGTCTGGAGTCCAGTTCTAGATGTAGCTGCCTTCCTAACAAGCTCCGGCCGATGCTGCTGGGACTGCAGACTGCTGGAGGCTGAGTCAAAAATTGAAGATGGAGGATTCACAAGACCAGAAATTGGAGAGAGAAGTAGGAATGATTCACTTAGTTGTTAAACCAGTTAGAGATATGAAAAATCCCTAGGCACAGATTGCTATAGAGAAATCAGACTGCTACAGGAATATCTAAAAGCACAAGCCAGAAGTGGGGATATGGAGAATTATAGAGAATCACCACACCCGACACAGCCAAACTGAGTTTTTGATCTTTTCTACCTTTGTAAACATAACATTTTTCCCCAGTCTCAGAACTTAATTTAAGAAAATAATGTAGCTAATAACAATTTTTTAATTAAAATTGTAGGTATTGTTAATCTAAAATTGAGGAAGCCATAAAAAAGGCAACATCTGTTTATTTGGGGCCAAACTGTTAGTGTGTTAACATAGGGGGCTGAGAGTAATAGAAGAGAGGGCTGATGCCCAGATCCCAATGTCCTGTGGCTGTCCTGGGGCCATATTGTATAGTGAACAGCACTGACATTGATGAGATATACTTGGCTCGGATGAGGCTTGAACTGGCAAAATTCAGATAAAGCTAAGTGCAGTGTGCTCAACGCGGACTACTAGTGCAAAGTATACATTTGACTTATCTTTATTTTGTCCTCTCAAGACTCTTGGCTTTATTGGTGTGACCACGTGAGCCTAAAGTTTGTCCTTCTTTTTGTTATTAGGAAGTGTTGTGCCATGTACCCTGGTGGGAACAACATCTTCCTATAGACTTTCAATACGCAAACTCTATTGAAAACCCAAGTCAGGTCTGGTCATTCCAATCCTATACTACTGAAGACATACATGGCTAAACATTTCATGCACATGCTTCTGAATATCTATAGATACCCAGAGTAACACATCATTCGGACAATAATTTAGTCCATTACCCCAAGTTTGTATAATGTGTATATGGCCTTTTGTTTATTTTCTTTTTCTTTTTCAAGATTTATTTATTTGTGCATACAGAACTGGGATACAGACCAGAGGCTCAGGGGCGGTGAGGGGCTTCACCAGAGACAGAGTGGGGAGCAGAACAGGCAGATTGACGAGGTACACTGCTGGGGGGAGCAGCGGGCGGGTCAGGAGAGATCTGCCTCACCATGTGGTCACCTCCTGGGCAGGTGGGAATCGAACTCATGCAGAAATGGCTTTAGCTTCTTAGTGCTGTGTTTTAACCCACTGTACCACCAGGGAGGGCCCCTTTTAAATAGTCCACTTTGATACATTCATTACCTTTACATCTAGTCTATGATTTCTACCTTCAGGCACTCTATCATCTTTAAACATTTGCTTTCGGATCTTTTCCAGGGTGGTTCGAATCTAAAAAAAAAAATAATAATAAAAACAATTTTTTTCAAAGGCATTTAATGTCAAATGCTTTTTTTCTCTATATCAACTATAGGGCACATGACTTATTTAGAAAGGAGTAATAAACTGATTTCAGGTTTAAATTTTAAATAGCTGTCATCGATCTAAGTTGCCTTTAGGCTTATATTGTTTAAACTATGGAAAATAGCATTTGATCTAAATTTTACACTTAAAAAATAACCAAAATAATTATTGCACTACAAAGTAATTACTACTTAACAACTAATACTTAGTACTTTGTAGTTCTTTTCCTAAATAGTAATTTAGTACTAATTTATTTAGTAATTACTATAAAACAATTACAATTTAGCAATCATTACAAAATAATTACTATCTACTTATTACTACAAAATAATTACTATTCAGTAATTATTACAGAACAATTACTAATCGGAGATCATACAAATTTATTCATGAAACATAAACCCCATGGCTTGGTGACCTATAGCACTGCAAGACACTCAAGAGAAATTAACTCATCAGAACAGGTTATAATCTACGTCCACATTTTTTGGTCAGGTCTAAAGACTGGTCCATTACCATCTTGGCTCTCATAAGAGTTCACTTTTTTTTTTTAAGATTTTATTTATTGTGCATACAGAACTGGGGTACAGGCCAGAGGTGCTGGGGACGGTGAGAGAATTCACCAGAGACAGAGTGGGGAGTAGAACAAGCTGACTGACTAGGTGCACTGCTGAGGGGAGCAGTGGGCAGGTCAGGAGACGTCTGCCGCGCCATGTGGGTCACCTCTGGAGTGGGGATCGAACTCATGCGGAAGTGGCTTCAGCTTCTTAGTGCTGTGCTTTAACCCACTGCGCCACCAGGGAGGGCCCAGATTTCACATTTTTAATGAAGCAAAATGTCAATTATGTAGTCACCACTGAGAGCTACCTGAAAGGTGAGAAGGAGGAAAATAAGGAGAGACAGCTCCTAAGCAAGGAACTTACACACCTTGGGAAGACAGCAGTAACGCTCATGAAACAACTGGGGATGATATAAGGCAGTGGGCAATCCAGTGGTGCAAAGTGCGGGACAAATTAAGTGCTGATAGGTTTCAAGCTCTCCTGGCCTGTGAGTCAATGTTACGCCAAGTGTGGGCTGTGCGTTCAATACACACAAGGAAAGCAATTAAACCTGTGCTTAAATTTCAGCTACCAAGGATGTCCTTTGAAAATTAGGTTTATTCTTTCTCACATGTTCTATGAGAGAAGTAAATCTCAACATTCTATATTAGACTTAAGTTTTTTATCATTTTTAAATTTTTTTAAAGATTTATTTATTTATTCATACAGAACTGGGGTATAGGCCAAAGATGCTGAGGGTGAGAAGATTCACCAGAGAGAGCGTGGGGAGCAGAACAGGCAAATCAATGAAGTACACTGCTGAGGGGAGCAGCGGGAGGGTCCGGAGAGGTCTGCCGCGCAATGGGGGTCAGCTCCCTGGCCAGGATCCAGCTCATGCTGAAGCAGCTGCAGCTAGCTTCCTAGTGTTGTTCTTTAGCCCTCTGCACCACTAGGGAGGGCCCTAGACTTTTTTTTTTAATCCACAAGATTTCCAATGTCTACTTACCTCTCTCACATATTCAGTTTCTTCAATAATATGAGCTGATGCAGATTCATACAAGGCAGAATTATTTTCTGCCTTACCCCTTGGGGGATCTTTTGTGGTCATAGTTATTGTTGTCATCGTGAATCCTGGCTTTTGGAAAACATAAATCAGTTAGGTAAATATAATTTCTGTGGCTATATGGCTCATCAACTAAAAGTGCTGTCTTAGCCCTGTAACCAAGATGTATAGAAAATAATGTACATTATTAGCATCATATATTTTTATAAACTCAGTTCAAAACACCCTGTCACTAACCAGAGCTAAAAACATTTGGTGAGACACTGACACTGAATACATTAACTCGAGGGGCCCATTTAATTCATCTTAACTAGAGACAAATAGACACGATGTCCTCTAGATGAGGCACAATTACAGGTGCAAGTACACTTTCCAAAAAAAAACTGAACCTGAATCTAACCATGCCTCAGTACATGACGATGAAAATTTCTGCCAAAGCAGAAAATGTTTAGTGAAGGTTGCAAGGGTGAAGGTTGCAACCAGCCAAATTTCTACTGTGAAAAGTAGCTACTTTCTTCCACATGTTAATTTTATATAAGGATGAGGAGAGGAAGAAAAAGGTGCCATAGATTGAGTCTGAAAAGATCCATGAGCAAATGCAATAAGTGAATCTTCTTTTGTTTCTGATTTAGGTGAACTAAGTATCTGTAGTCATTTCTGAGACATATGGAGATATTTCAGCATTCACTGATGGGGTAGTAGATGATGTTAAAGAATTGTAATTTTGCTAAGTGTTCTTTCAAAAGATAGTGTCTGTTAGTAAAACACAAGTAATTGCTTAAGCTGGTTGGGGGAACACGGAGTTCATTTGACTCCCCTACGTTTCTTGATTCTGTTTGAAACTCCCATAACAAATAGTAAAGAACTAAAAATTCAATTAAACAGAAAGCTATGTGAGATAGGATTATTAATCTCTCTTGCTGATAAAGAAGCCAAACTCCCACAGGTGATGTGAACTTCCTGAAGATCACAGTAAAACTAACAGGTGAAATGCAAATGCTGGCTTTTCGTGAACACCAGGTTCAAGGGGGATGCCATCACTGAGAGAGCTTGGCTTCCTTATTGAGAAAACAATGCAACAAAAATATTTAAAATTTAGCTATAACCTATGCTGTTCAAATGTACAGGGATTTTTCACAGTCATGAGAATCACATTATAACTAGACAGCATCTCTTTAATCTACAATAGCATTGACAGATCCTGCCAAGAATTTTTTCCATTTCATTGCAACTCCCTTAGACAGCAGTTATGGCTTCTATTTGTTTCTGTCGAAGCTGATCTGGAAGCTTCAACACTGCACGTCTGATTTGCAGAGCTTGAGGGAAGGACTTCTGTTACTTGGTCGTCTGAGTCTTTCCCAGGATAAATCTTTGGTCCCAGGCAACTTCTATTTTTTGAATTTTTTTTTCAAGATGTATTTATTTATGCATACAAAAGCAGGGGTGCAAGCCAGAGGTGGGGGGGGGTTAAGAAGATAAGAAGATTCATCAGAGACAGAGATGGGAGCAGAACAGGTAAACTGACTGAAATACACTGCTGAGGGGAACAGCTGAGGGGAGAGGTCTGCTGCCCAGAGGGTCAGCTGCCTGGCTGGGAATCAAACTTGTGTTGCAGTGGGGCCACCAGGTAGGCCCCAGACAACTTCTAAATGCTGAAAATAAAAGAAATACGCACAGAAACACTATTTGTTTGCAAACCAAGGGTGTGTGTGTGCAGAAACTAGGGAGTGTCCACCAAACCACAGCTGAGCAGTTCAACTGGGCTGCCTGCCTGCTTGGACAGCCTAGGAGCTAAACCTGTCTCCTTATACTTCGGAACCACTCCAAAAAAAAAAAAAAAAAAAAGCACAAAAGAATAGCATTCATAGCAAACATGGGGGGGTGGCTGGGGGGTGGGGGATGGGAGGAGGGGAGTAGGACTGGTGGGGAAGTAGAGCCATTGATTTTGTCTGGCTTACATTTCCTTCTCCAGTTCAATCCCCTTTCTCTTCTTTAGTAAACATTAACACACAAGAAAAGACATTTAATCATAGCAATTCCTCACTTTTTAGAGTGGATCCCATGCATTCTCAGTCTTTAGTGTCTATAGAGGAGGTTGGGCTCTAACACAGCACTAGCTCTCTGTTGACATTTTGCCGACGCAATTTTCGTGCTACAGCAGCAGAGCTAAGAGGTAGTGACAGTGAAAAATATGTGAAAAGTGATGCTTGAAATAGTTGTCCGCAGGGCTGTTAGGATACAGCTACAAATGACTGGTCTCTCAGATAAGCATTAACAAGTTTCTCTTTCCCCCTCTGACAAGTTTGTCTTCTTCAGGACTGGACTGGTCTCTCAGATGACCGTCAACAAGTCTGTCTCTCAGATAACCAGTAGCAGGTTTGTCTTTCCCTGTTCCTTGCAATTTCTCTTTCCTTGTCTGACAGGTTTGTCCTGCATTCCAAGGAAAGGGAAGTCAAACAGCAGATGCAGTAAAAGCAAGCTTAGGCCCACAGGTCTCCATCTCCCTGCTGACCTCTGCTCCCTTTAATCATAGCAATTCCTCACTTTTTAGAGTGGATCCCATGCATTCTCAGTCTTTAATAAACAAAGTCCATTGGGTCTCACCTTCCATAGCCTAAAATATATTCAGCTGGTGCCTTTCTTCTTGATACCATACATTTTTGCTCCTTAATCAGTGAGATTTCTGAGACCATCCTGTCTGCTCCACTCAGTGATCAAGCCATCTTCAACAAGTTACCTGAAACCTTAGCTTCAAATTTATGCACCCTTAGAAGAGGGACAGTAACAGCTGGAGTTATGAAAGTGAGTGTTTTTTGTTTTTGATTTCGTAGAAGGAAGTCGGTGGACATTACCTGTTAACATTGCCAGTGGTCTTCTTTTATGTTATTAGTAAGTACTGACCAGCAGCCTATAACAGAGTGGGTAGGTGGCTCACGACAACCTGGCTGCAAAGTTTATATCCAACTCCTTGCATATGAAGTCAAATTCCATTTCTTTCTTTGGTTCAGATAAATTTTGTGTCCACAGTCTTTGCTTTGTATAAAGGAACCTAGGAACTAAGCTAGCAAAGCCCAAATTGCCATATGGCATCACCATTCTGGGAAGAATCCATCTTAGCATTTTATTTCAGCCAAAAGTAGATTAGGCAGATAAAATTTTCAAAATAAAACACAATCAGTTCATTAAAGCGAGAAGAGAATTGTATTTGTTTAATGCTAGAGTGGATTGAAGACAGTTTATGAGTGGCATCAGGCCAGGAGGTGTTATTTCCTAGATCAGGGCTTTTCAAACAAGAGTTCGCAGGAACTGGGGGTGTAGAGGTTGGGTGCTGAGCTTTGCTTTTTGTCTCAACTTGAACCAAAGCAGCTGGGCTTTGTTCTGTTTCACACACTCAACTTTTCCTTAAGACATTCTGTGAAGAAAAAAAAATGGTATACTACCAAAGTATTCGCAAACTTTCTCCTTTCCTAGACTGACCTTGCTGCTCAGCAGCTCTGTGAGCTTGAGCAAGTTCCTCTACCTCTCTGTGCTCAGTTTTCTCATCAGTAAAAATCAAGCAATATTATTTTTTTTTCAAGTAATAATATTTTTAGTGGGCCTTCCCTCATGGCACAACGGGTTAAAGCACAGCACAATGACGCTCTCTGCAGCAGCTTTAGTGAGTTCTATCCCCCCACCCCGCCCCAGGTTGCTGACCTACATGGTACAGCAGACCCCTCCTGTCTCACCCACTATTCCCCTCAGCAGTGTATTTCTGCCAACCTGCCTGTTCTGCTTCCCACTC